CGGGCCCCGGCGGCTACCAAGGGCAAGGGAAAAGGCAAGAGAAGGGGGAGGGGAAGGGGAAGGGAGCCGGGGACCGGGGCTGGGGAGGGGAAGGGGGGAGCGCGCGAGACAGGGCGAGTCTCCGAGTCACCACAGCAGGAACAGCAACCTCCCAACGCTTCCCTCCGCCACCTCCATAGAGAGCCGACTCGCCGCGGCGTCTAACGCGCAGAGAGGCCGCTCCACTAACTTTATTACCCTTCACGCAACCTACCCCACCTCCCTCTAACAACCGCCAATCGCTGCCGAGGGCCCCGCCCCCTCACCAATCGCAACGAGGAAAGGGGGTGGTCTTAATGTGGAGGTGGGAGGAGGATGGAGGAAGTTTGGTTGAGCAGTACCACCGCCGCAGTGCAGCACCCGTATTCACGAAAGCGGACTACGCCGCGTGGTGGGTGAGAGAGCCTAAGGGGGAAGGGAGATCTGCGCAAGTGGCGTACCCAGTCAATGGAGGCGGCTTGGCTGGCTCTCTGCTTCGCTGTTTGTTCCTGGGCTTCAGCGATTACAGAGCCCCAGTTCTAGAGGCCTAAAGTTATTCTGTGTGAGTTACAGTTGATTCTGTCACGTTCACAGCAGGGATGGCTTTATATATATATGCGTGTCTATACATTAAAGTTGTCGGTGTTTTTAGCCTAGATTTCACTGCACTGTGACCACATCTCGGATTTGGTTGAGGCTGTGGTAAAACGTTATCTGATTGTAGGCTCTGGCCCTGCGCTTGCAATCAGATCCGAAGGAGGAGGCTTGCCATTTGAGCTCCAAGAGCCTGCCTGTATGGATCCGATTTCAGGTTTGCTTTCTGGGTTTGGAAGCTATCTGTATCTCTGCATGTGCTTTTAGCTATTAACTCTTCTGTCCATGCTATGCTAGGGCATCCTGCAAGCAATCCCTGTACAACCAGGCTTCTTGAACCGGAGAGCCATTTTTAAATATTTACTATGCCAAACAAACAGCTGGTGAGGCTTTCTTGCTCCTCTTCAGTTAAACAAAACAAAGACTACCAGGTTTTTAGCTGTAGGTGGAAGTTTGAGTCATGGGAGACTTCCAAAGAGTTGCCAGTCTGGAATTTTATCCTTCAGTGGCAGCTGTGTCCCAGTCCCAGGTTGTCACTGAGGTAGCAGCTCTGTGGATTTTCTAAAGACTTACGCTTACTTGTTCTAGATGTGGCACGACCGAAAAACAAGAGCAAAGTAAATCTGACAGCAGAGCCCCACAAACATCCACATCTGCTTTGTTCACACATATACACCTTCCGCTTTCAGTTTGCATGACTCATAATTCAGATGACTGGGAGAAAGTGATACCTATGCCAACTCTTGAACCGTGCAGCTGGCAAGTCCAAACAAACTATATTATTCAACTTCTAGTTTCCCAGAGCCAAGCTCGTTCCTAATGCTTTCAACACAAGGTGCCATTATGTCCCAAGAGTTATATATAAGGTCTAAAGGGTGCCTTCATACAGGAGTTTTTATGTTTCATCTTATCTAGGATTAAATTTATTCAAGATGGGTTTTCCTATCTCATACCCATGAGCATTACGGGCAGTTTGCATGTGCGTTATGGAAAATCTTGAGCAAACTATCTGAAAGTAAGTTTTGAGCTCGCACATTGCATAAGGGTGAACATAACTATGAATAGTGCTTTTCAGACCAGAACTAGTGCATAATGACACTTTTGCTGCATGCAACGGTAGTTCATTGTATTACTGCGACAGCTGGGACCTAGGTAGCTTGCGTGTGGATTGGCAAGAACAGACCTGTGCAGAACCCCATTGAAATCACTCGAGTTCGGTTTGAAAGAAGGGCTCAATGAGCGCAGAGGCAACAGCAAAGCCAAAAAGATTGAAAACAATGTTTGAACCATATTATTTTAGTCAAATAAATATTCCCAGAATAAAAAGGGTAATACAAAGTACTTGCAAGTTTTAAAAACTGATGTGAAAGCAAGGTTTTGTTTTCCTTTTGGTTGCAGAATATTCTCCTATGACATCCCCAGGATAAGCATAGCAACCCAGGATAGGGCAGAGACCCCACAAATGAAAATAAAGGAGAATGTCTCTTGCAGGTCTTTTCCTTCAAAGCATAGTAAGTTCATATTAACAGACTAAAGTATCACCTTTTGTTTGTTTATTTTAAAACACACTATAAATATTTACTACTCTACCAACAGAAAAAAATAAACTAGATTTGCTTGGTGAGAAGGTGAAAACAAATGATCATTGTTTTACTAACATTGTGATTGTTTTTTTCAGGCCTCAATTCTGTAAACATGCACATTAGGTTTAAGTCTCGTTCAGATCAACCGGATATATACTATTTCATAGTTCACACTGCTTTGGCGGGTGGGAACCTGAGAATTTCCTGCCATTGGCTGCTCATAGCTTTCTCTCACATCTGCGTCACACTTTGCCGGCTTCATATACCAGTTCCGCTAGCACAGTAGATGAAGGCAGTGAACTATAGTACAGAGGACAAAAGAGATTATGAAATGCCTTATACCTCTCACCTACTTCTTAAATTCCATAAACTGCTAGGGAAGACACATCATTATTCATATCTGAGAATGTAACAGCCTAATTGCTGATATGGTTATTCAATAAGAAATTTACCTCAGGACTTTTTTTTCTGTTTGTGCCCTTGACTCCAGAAAAAAACAGCAGATGGAATTCGATAGCTGTCAGCTTCAGTAGCAACTTTCTTTCGTTAGCAGCCTTAGCTAATTTATTGTCCAACATCTTTTTTTGCACTGTATCTTCCCCCTTTTTGTCTGCCACTTCTCCTGAACGTCAGTGATGCTTTAATTCAAAGAACCTAGGTTACGATTGACATAGTGATGTTTCTGGATTTCAGTCTGAACTTGTAGAATCTCCGTATATTTTCAACGTGAGAACACTGTCACTAGCTGTTTGGAGGAGAGGGCTTGTCTGTAAAGAAATGCTATGAGAAACCTACTGCGTTGCAGGCTGCGTGGCAGAGAACCAGATGCAGCCTCTGGCTGAGAGGCAGAGAAGTGTCTCTTGCTGTGCGTGTGGCCTAGCTCAGGACCTGGAACGGCTGCTGTCATCTACCAAAACAACCCACAAAACGTGGGGAAGGAGCTTTCCTTGCTACTGCCAAGTTTGAATCACCCTGACTTACCCTGTGTAGTAGATTACATTGCAATGATTACAAAGCTGAGTGCTGCTGAGTGGAGGTTGTAGCTTGAGTCCTTATAACAGGGTAGCTGCTGTAGGGTGGCACTGTACCAAATCCCGTCAGCATTGCTTCTCATCGCTGTGTTCGTGCTGCTGTACTGGTTCTGGGTCTGGCTAGGCTCGGTTTTGGGCAGAGTGCCCCATTACGTAGTATAGACATAATATAAACCAAAGCATCCGTTATAGAGAATTAGCGTAGAGTAGCTAAGTTACTGAAAATTCACGCCCTAGTTTACTCCATGCCAATTTCCCTGACACGCACCTTCTCCCGTACCAAACAGCTTTTCTGTCTGCCTTTTCCTGTGACCCTAACTCTTCTTCTCCAGGACCATTTATAGTTCCTGACCCATTAATGAAGAAGCCGGCACCAGCATTTTAACCAAATATATAGTTGTTCCTACAATAAGAGTCTGTCCGAAGCACATCTTTACTGTGGAAGGAAGGACTGGAAAAAGAACTGAGAAAACCCTATATTTTTCATTTAAGTAAGTTCCTTTCTGTGCTTCTACTAAAGAGGAATGCAGTGACACTTGGAAAACACATTTATCCCATGCAGATGCACTATTGTAAGAACTGTTGGCTTTGTATTTTAGAAAAGTGCACTAGCACGTTGGCTATGGAATATAGTGCCTAGTTTGTACAGTATGGCAGGGGTGGGCTGAAGGCGTCTTATAAAGCTTTGTAGTTGTTCTCTATAGTATTTTAATTTGAAAATCGCTTACCGGTGTGTGTTTCTTCCTCAGAAACATCTTCTGTGATGACCTTTAGTGAGGCTGGTTTAACAATATTCACAGAGGCAATAGCATTCACAACCTTCTCAACGGTGCTGGACTTCTAACCCCTGCACAGGGGAGGTAACTTCTCTACTTTCCCTTTTTTTGGAAAATCCTTTGCAGTAGACTTAAGTGGATCTTGGATGTCTTAAGACCAGGGGTTTTGCTTTTATCCAGTTGTCTTTAGAAATGCTGCTCCGTCTGCCTTAACGCAGCATCTGGAGTTTCTGCTGCTCAGAGCCAGTCCTTCATAGTCTATCAGATATATTTGAAATCGTTCTCTGTTTCAGGCCCTGAAGACTCACTGGATTTTCCTGAGGATAAGAGTTAGTCTAGGAGTTACAGTTGCATGGATTCTCATGGTCATTCTTTGTTAGAAATTTTGGAAAGATGTTTGGCATGTGACCTTATATGAGCCAGTGAAAACTGCGTGTAGACTACTAAGATGTCAGAGATACTGATATTTCATCTGTAAATGTTTATACAGGCAACTAAAGAAAGTGAGGCAATGTCTGTAACAGCCCAGCTTGCTTTGCTTTCACAATCCTGTTTAGAACAGTGAATATTCTGAGCCAATATAATTGCATTAAGCAAAAGCGTCATAATTTTCAAAGAGGAAAGTTGCATATGTGTTCACAGAATGATCTGGGAAAAAAAACAGCGACTGTCTCCTCACTAGGTCTAGTTCAATGAAACATGTCAGCTGCAAAATTCTTATATTCTCTAGTCTTTTAAAATGACAGATTTGTTCATACGCTTCAGGATCGGCAGAGTAACTGTGCTGGACAACATAGTCCAACGTTCTGTTTCTGACATCAGCTACCCCAGCTTTAAAGTCAGGTAGGAAAGCTTTGTAATTTATCATTTTCATTATTTGTAAAGAGAAGAGCATTTCTTTCTCCTAACAACTGCCAATTAATGTGTGAATTACCTAAAAGCATGTGTTTATCATTTGTACATTTTACAGTTACTACAGTTACAATTTTCTATATTAATATCTAATTTTGACACCTAATTTAGGCCCCTGAAATCCCATGTCTCAGTGAGTTCTGGGGTTTAATTGCACAGTGGTCAAGAAGTAATAATCCTTGGATCAGTTTTAAAATCTGTTGGCTTAATTCCATTGTAATTTGCCTGCTTAAGTGGTTTTGTGGCAGTCATCTTCCATATGAAATACTTACCATAAACACCTAATGGAGCTGCACACAAATTACGGTTGATTGAGCTGGAAGAGCATCAGTGTCCTATGCTGTACGGCATGACTCTGATCTTTATAGCAATATATTATTGATGAATATTGAATCATAGGTAGGAAGTTACTTGCTATTAATAGAATGCTGCACATTGTGTTACCAGTGTAATTTTTGTAATATCTTTCTCATTGCCAAAATGCTGTGTCACAGTTTGTTTGTGGGGATGTGTATAGGAAACACTAGGAATACCTCACAGAACATGTATATACTATTAGTTGCTTGTAGGAAAGAGTTTTTGTAGGATGTAGTTAGCTACTCTTTGCCTTACGTTTCCATTGGTAGAAACGTAGCATGACTTCTTACAAATTAAGTTAATATTCATATACATTAGTTATCGTTATATGATTACCATTAATATAGTTTACGTTAATGACAGAGGATAACGTTAATGATCTGTTAGGTTTCTGTAAGGGCCAGATTTTCTGTTGTTTGGGCACCAAAGCTCCACCTGAGCTGGAAGAAGGACAAGGAAAATCTGCATAGCATTTTTAGTCATCAAGAGGAAGAAAAACACAGGAAATCAGTCCAATAGTTATTGATCCAGGTTGACCTTTTGGGAGTCAGTACGCCCTTCTGTTTTCCATAGTTACTTGGCAGAGAAGTTCAAGATCTTTCCGTACAATAACAAAAAAGATTATTACTTGTTGTAAGTTATGAACCTATTTAAAAATGCAGATTTGTAATAACATATTCAAGTACATTAGACCATTACAGTAGACAGCATTTTCATTGTTTGACTTGTGGTTCCCTTTATTATATACAGCCAGCTGTGTTAAAATTATATCCGGCCTATATTACAATTGTGTCGCATTTCTACAGAATATTTTCATATCGGCATTCTTTATTCCTTAATCCATTTAAAGCAAATGCAGCTACTCATTGAAATTGCATCATTTTTTCCTATTTTGGTGAAAACAGTTTGGGTTCTAAAGGCCTTGCAAAAGGTGCCTTTTTCCCATTCAGATCCAGCTCGTTGCTTATACCTAGTTTGGGAAGAGAGGAACAAAACCATTATCAGAATGGGATGTAAACCAGGCCCCACATCTGAAGACCCTCAGGTGTTAAGAAAGACCTAGATCAGACGCTGAAGCTCGCTCTTATTAACCGACTGATATTTGTCTTCATGTGACATGAGTTTATGATAAATAGCAAAGCTTAAGGGAGAAAGTGTTAAACATGTCCCGTGGATTGAAAATATTTCATTCTCTGGGGCAATCCAGGGCATTTCAGCACAACAAAATAGATTCTGATTAGCCTGCTTCACTCATGTTCAGTGAAATTAGGAGATCAATAATCATTGACAAACAGTAAAAGGGTCTTTGGGCACATGTTGTTAAATAACTTGGTGCCATTTGTCCAGATTCTCTCCTGTACAATTTTGAATAACATTGAAAGGTCTGAAAAGAGATGATAATGAACAGGTGGTTCTTTGGCTGATTCTGAGCCACCTTGCAACAGCCTCATGCAGCCACAGGGGTTGCAGGAATCCATACATTACGGTTGGGGAGCAATCTCATGAGGGGTTGCAAGATGAGGGGTTATGGTGGGGAAAGGAATGCTGTACATATGCCTAAGGTAAAATACCTCTATTCAGAAAAATCTCCAGCTGGGGCTAGTTTTTGGTTTTTTTCTTGGTAGAGAGGGAAGTTTTAATTTTTTAATTTTTCAGTATTTTTAAGAGTGAGAAAATACAAGTGAGCGTAATTGCATACTGGGTAGTTATTGGGGTTAATACAAACAGTTTACTGAAAAGATTTGAATTTCACGAGGCTCTCTGGTACTAACATAATATGTGTCCAGAACAGAAGTCATGCATACAGTGAATCCAAATTAATATGTCTGCTCACAGATAATGTGTTTGCTTCAGATGTAAAAAGCTGAATCCCTAGATTGAGATGGCATTGGGTTGAATTACAAAATTTTCTAGAAATGAAGTTGAACATTGTTCAGATGCTGTAAGAGTAACTGAGCATGCTTGAGTTGAATACTTAAGAGACTGTCACTCTTGAGCTCATCAAAAGCCTTTACTTCCTCCTGTAGTCTCCTAATCCTGTATTTTTCAGTCAGTGGAACTCCTTTTAGGCCCTGCGCAAACACAAAAGGATATAGCCTTGTAACTACTGACTTAATGTTAGTTGTATCAGGGATGAATTTGACTCAGCACCTTATTCATATTATATACTTTGTTGACTTACATTGACTCATTTATTGACTTATCATTAAATGCAGCAGCACTCAGAGAAGTAGCTGAGAGCAGAGTGAGGGGGTGCGTGCTTGCTTGCTTGCTTGCTAAAGAAAGTGAAGCTGCCTCAAACAGCCCAACTCTGGTTTTTAATATAGCTCCATTAGAAGATAGCTGTTTTATTACTGCTTTTAGTGTGTTAACAAAGATTGAAAAGCACTAGAAGACAAGTTATAAAAAGCAGCTTTTGTCTGTAACAACTTCCTCTACTGGGATAGCGTGTCTCTTTCCAGCAATCTTTACAGGACAGATGGGTTTCACAAGATACGAGCCTATACTGAGACCAGGGATATTTTAACAAAAGCTCATCCCTGTTAGTACTTCAGAATTTGATCAGTCATTTAAAAGATTTTCACTCCTGCTTTTTCAAGGTGTCATTGCATTGATTTAAGTGTTTGAGGCAGAAGGAACCCAAAAGAAGTCTTCAGGCTCCTTTAAAAAGTGCAGAGCATCATTACAGTTTTTATGTTTCCAGATGTGAAGTCATATCCAGAATATTCTCTGTTTATTACAGCTGATTAAATTTCATCTCATAGGTTATTTTTAGTAATCTCTGTAAATTTTATTAAGAAGCATTGTTTTCTTTGGAGGTTATGCAGCTCGCAAGGGAAAGAGGGAAAGAAAAAAAACTTCAGTGTTTGTACTCCAGGCCGGTAAAGCCTCAGAATCAGTGAACCCCAGGATTCAAATGGTGCTTTTGCAGCTAGAAATTTTGCTGAATAGTAAGCAAAGAGAAATCTGATGTTAGAAATCTCACTCCTCAGGCTTGCTAGAGCTGATATTAAAAGGGTTGGCACTGATGTTTCAAACTGTTCTTTCTTTTCACAAGAAGCTGTCACTACTGCTGTCTCCTCTCAGAATTACTGTCACTCAGCTGTTGAAAGGGAATCATTAGTAACTGTGACTAGGGTAGTCTGGAAGAAACCCTTTCTGAGAACATTGTTGGCTTCCTTTATATGTCAGTTGATGATGTAGCCTCTTATGATGCCATCTCCCCTGTATGATGTTATAAACTATTGACTAACATATGTGTCATTGCAGTAGATAAAAATTGTAATTATTGCTTCTAAAAATGTGTAGTCAGACTATTATACTACTGAATTTGCTTTCATGGAGTGGTTTTTAAGAGGGAGAATTCACAGAAATTCACTTAAAGGGACAACATCTTGCCTCACTGCCAGAATATGCCTGAGGCTTACCTGGCTAAGAGAACAACAAAGAAAGGGATGGGTATTTCCTACTTACAATGAGAGAGCGCAGCCCTTTTGCCTTACCCCAGTTTCAAGTATGGTTAGTTGAACTGTGAACACAGATCTCCAAGTCTGCACACATAAGTATGTAGAGTGTGCATGCACCAGAATGCCTTTCTTGTTACTCAATTGCAGAATTTGTGCAGGCCTTATAATTATTAATTTTTGAAAGGGATTTTATAAATAGATTATGAATGCAAGCCTTGTGGAGCGGGTGGTAAGGAAAGGAAGAAGGGAAGACCACTTAAAGCAGTGCGCACCATACTGACTTCTGGTTGAAGAAAGAGGGGCATTACTAGCTTGTTGTGTGATACAGTGAGTAGAATTTATGATGCATTTAGTTTGGTGCCCTTTAATTGTAGACCAAATTAAAACAATATTTTGGGATATATATATATATATATATGTCTCTCATATATATATATATCTGACAATGTATTATCAAATGAAATTATTAAGACAATTACTTGGTTATTTGCTGATGAATAATTTAGATAAAAAGATAAAAAACAGGAATCACATTTCACGGTGGGAATGTAAAAAGACTCCCTTGAGTCTTGAAGGAGGATCTCCCTTGTACATTCTCCACACTGGAGTAACCGTAAGTAACCAGGATCGCTGGACCTTGGCTCGAGATGTGAACTATTTTGATTTCCTGTGCTGTGTGAAGCATTAGAAAATGTCAAATGCAGGATAACCTGTTACATGCCAAGTAAGATAATGATGTCTTGCTGTACACTGACAACTTACCACAGCACTGATTATCAATGCCAGTGAAATCTTTCTATTTGCAAAAAAACAGTTTTGAAAGATTATCAATGCAGGACTGTTAATATCTGACAATTTTGTTTTATAAGAGAGTTACTGATTAAATGATTTCAGTATTCCACCATTGTCAGCTTTCTGAGGTCCCACAGCAAGTTATTGGCAAGCGAGTGGAGGATTTGTCTTGCATCTGAATTTCAATATGTTGAGTCTTTAATGTGTCTCAATCACTGAATGTGTCAGCTCACCATGAGGCAAAAGGGATTTGTTAGCAAGCAGTGAGTATCATGCGTAAATATGTTCATAAATACTTATTCCTTTCAATTCAAA